GTATGTATGTATGTATGTATACGTAGTGTGTGCTGGTCTTCCAGAGCCCGTTCAGCCAACGAGTGTCGGCTCCGAGGTCGTCAACGTCCACGTCATGGCCGGCAAGTCCAAGAGCGGTCAGAGCTGTGCCTTTGTCGAGTGCGCCGGCAGATGGCCGTGTGTGCAGCCGTCTGGGCAAGTGTTTGGGGGGCTAGCAGCTAGCAGTATGCACCGGCGGACACAGGTACTCCAACACCACAGAAGCAGAAACTGCCGTTCGACCCTCATCTCCCGGCAGTAGCGGGATTCATGACTTTTGGCCTGGTGCTGGTGCCCTTAGAGGGCGGAGGGGAGTCTGGGCCTTGCCTTGGCGCTATCACGTGCATGTTGCCTCGGCTCCCACACGCTGAAGCAGAGGCAGAACGATTATAATGCCGACTTGTCAATGAGCTTGCAGGTTCTGACGCTTCATGAGAAGTATGAGATTCGCCCAGGCGTGATGCCGATGATGCACAGCTTTATGAACGGGAAGGGTCTGTCTGTTGGTGCCAAAGTCGTCACAGGAGATGGGCACATCCTCGTGAAATTTGCGCAGTCTGGCAGTGCTCGCCCGGGCCCGCTAGGAGCCCAGCCAGTGCCCTTTTGCTTCCACGGGCATCGCACAGCTTGGCTGAGGTATTAGTGACTTCGTAACGGATGGCAAGGGTCCGAGCGGTCGACGGAGCTCGCAAGCGTTCATCTAAAGCTCACTTGCAGAGGTCGACGGGAGCCTGGCTGAGGGGCACCTGATGCTCCAAGCCTGATGCCCTCGTCGAGTGGAGAGCTGCGGCTTCTGAAAAAACAAGCGGGGCATTCCCATCATTCCCGCCATTTCCCTTGTGAGGGGTTCGGCCTGGAGCATGCTGGGTTTAGGGTTGAGATGGGTTTAGGATGGGTTCAGGTGGGTTTTAGGATGTTCCCAACGCGTCTTCTGATCCCGACTCGGCCCCCCGATGTGCCGTGCACAGCCCCGGCCGACACACCCACATTCGTCGTTCGGGAAACTCCTTCATGGTCAGTTCAAAAGGTCTTTACACCTGATTTTTCCCCAGCGGCGCATGCGGGGCAAGGTAGAATGTCAGGGCAGGAGAGTTCTTCCCATAATGTTGGAGTGGTTTCCAGTGATTTGATGATTTGATTATTTCGCGTTGACTTTTTTCAAATCAATACAGTCAATGCAGTTTCGGGCTTGGGACACCAGCCTAGCGCCACAGGAAGCAACCTGACAACTCAGGCAGGTCACGCCAGCTTGCAAGATCCGAGGCGCCTGCACCGTTCTCAATTCTCGTAGCCAGCCAAAAGCCTAGGCACAAGTGTTATTCACATCGCGCTAAAACTGGAAGGATCTGCCGAACCTGGACGCAAACCCCTCTCGGAGATGAGTTTAAGGCTGTTGGAAGATGAGCATGAACTTAGTAGAAGGTCACGACCCTTCCTGATGCAAGTGCTGTCGACTTTCGCTTGGTTCCTCGACTAGCGCATGGGCGCAGGTTCCTGGCTTAATAAGCTCGTGATGTGAGACGGCCTTAGACGTGTCATGTCTGATCATGGGGTCTATCCTTGCCGCTTGAGCAAATCGAAGCGATTGCTGCCCTTGGGCTCTCAGAGTCGTTTTTTTGGGCGGGTGTCTGTGCGACTCCGCCCAGGTGCCTTGTCCTGTTCGTCCATGGCTGGAGCATCTCTTTGCACTTGCATTGTCCTGAGGCTGAAACATGTGGGGGCCCAACGAGCGGTGCACTGATCGCCTGTACAAGTAATGGCATCACGTTACTCCATCGTCTTCTCAGCCACCAGCTTTCCCAACCCCGTGGATTGAGATGAAGTCACCTCTGTGCTTTGCTGAGGGCTGAAGGGGAGGACGGATACGACGAGAAGGACTGGATGCACGAAAGCACGTATCGCTTTCATCAAGTCTTCGTGGTCGCTCTTCTTTTTCAACTCTCCTCCCTCCCTCCCTCCCTCC